CAGGAACTGCAGTGGTGTCAGGTGCCTGAAGAAACACCACGAAATACCTACAGCTTCATCACAAGCCTGCATTTCCTGGTTCCCCATTTGAGCATAACTAGGGCCAGGAGTCCCTCTAACATCTGGCTGACCCTTTCACGCTCTTACTCTCTGCCTATCACTCCTCTGCCACCTAGGAAAGCCCAGCTGGAGCGTCTCTCCTTGCCAAGGCTCTGAAGGCCTCGTCTCACCCCTTCTGAAAAAGGCCTGTGTTTGTTTTTGTACCTGTGCTCTTCTCAACCTCCGTGAAGCCACAGATCTGGGAGATGCTCTGGGCCCACTTGTTCCAGTCCTCCCATGTCTCAGCCATCAGGTAAAAGGCGCGCTCGCCGGTCTTGATATCAAACATGTAACTCCCATGCAGCTCCTTCTGGGTCACATCTATATCCACCTGCTCACTGGATTTCAGGTCGATACTCCCCAAAGGCTTTGAGTCACGGTCATTCTGGTGGTATTGCAGAATACCCAGGCCACCGACCTTCTTGCCATTCCACAGGACAAACCAGCATTCCTTCCAGGCCTAAATCCCACCAGGAAGGAGTAAGAAGGAGGGACAATTCATTAGTTATTACAAAGCTCTTAACAGGTCCTTAGACATCACTAAGTTAAGGATGGGAAGTTGGACCTGCACAAAGCCTAGGCCTCCCTTTCAGATTTCCCCAAAGTATCAAAAACGGGGGATGATCTTAAAATGCACATTACTGCAACATTTCACTGTGGCAATAGGATCTTATTTCTACAAAATAAGATGTGGCATTTCTACACTTTAGATAAGGAGGCCAGGTGAGGATGTAACAGAGGTAAAGAGCTAAAAAAGGGCAAAATGTTTTACGAGTTGTCTCTTGAAAAACCCTCACCCTTTGAGGAATTAAAACCTGCATTCCTGCCTGAGGCCAGTAATAAAAAGGGCAGAAAAATGACCTTTATTCTTTGTTTTCTAAACCACAGGAGATGGCTCAACAGAATTAACCAAAGGTCAGGAGATCATCTTCACTGGAGATAAGGTCAACCAAAACCACCAACTACAGTTAAACAACAACAGCTCAAAGCTGAAACCCACCCCCCTTTAAAAAGCCCTGTATTTCTGCTTAAAGGGAGATGATGGTTCTTTAAGGCCAGAGTCTGTTGTCCTCTTCGCTTGCTGGCAAATTAATAAACGTCTCTTTCCTTTTCTTCAAACCACTTGTCCTCATTCTTCATTCTCACTGATTTGGCCTCGGGGACAAGTACCAAACTTTTGGTAACAAAATTTAGCATCCCTGGGTGGGCCCATTGGCACCCCGGCAGAATAGCACCCCTCAACTGCTGCCATGGCTGGAAGAGGCAGGGAGCAGTCCCGGGTCAAGCCATGGGTCCTTGCCAGTAGGAGAATCGTCTTTTCAGGGTGAGAGAGTGAGGGACTGCCCCAGAGCCTGTTTAGCTCCAGGGAACTCCCGTCTCTCCCTCCCCAAATTAGATGCAACTCCTCACCACCTGAACCTCATTGAGGAAAAAGAAATGAATTTGGGAAGAGTCACGACACCTCAGGCTTTTTGGTAAGCTCCCCAGTATGCACACCAACACCCTTGATTCCACCCATTTAGGGAAGGTTGTGAAACTTCCGGCCTTGTAGTAGAGCATTTGTGGCACTGTAGGTGTGAAAGTCACAGTTAAGCGGAACTAGGGAACCTAGGGGATTCATCCCTTTTGGGTTAGGAAAATTCAGTTCTCTTTTGTACAGTTCCCATTTATTTGGTAGGCCTTGGCATTGAGATCGAGATTGTTTGCACTGGGAATTCTCTGTATTGTCTACTTGTCAACTTGTGTTTATTTTTGTTGCTTGAGAGTTTTGTTTCAACATGGGAGGCTCCATTTCTATTCCATCTGAAAGTCCCTTGGGGGAATCTTGGCTGAATGGTCAACTTATAGCTATAAGCCTATGTCTAAAAAGAGAATGATGTTTTATTATAATACTGCTTGGCCAATGTATGTGCTGGAGTGTGAGGAGAAGTGGCTCTTGAATGGAACCTTAGATTATTATTTGTCAAAGGTCAGGTAGATGGGACAAGATAACATACACACAATCTCTCACGCAATTGCATAATAAAGAGGCTAAAAGGCATGGGACAAAATTGAAGAGGAATTAACCAGGTTGTATCTCATGAACCCTTCAATTCAAACCTCACAGGTCCTGCCCTCCCACCATTGGCTCCCCTATACCCACCGCTGCCGACAGAGGGGCCCACGGTTGGGGAGAGTGCCGTGAGAACTGATTCTTCAACCTATGCCCACCAGGTTATGACTCAGGAGCAGGAATGGTCTCTCCTTCCAAGACCCAGCAGGGAACTCACTTTGGCCAGAGGGCACCCATAACCAGGGCAGGGCAATTTCCACTATGGCAATACCCAGTGGGGGCTTCACAAAAACCTAATGAAGATCCCTCTGAATTTTTGGAATGTATCTATCAAGCATATTGGAAATATACAGATATGGATCCAGAGGCCCCTGAAAATATGCACCTAGTTAACATGACTTTTATAGGGCAGAGTGCTACAGATATAAGAAGGAAACTACAGCATGTGGAAAAGGCAATTGGCATGAATCCCTCACAGTTGTTGGTATCATCTGTAAAGCACAAAATGCTAGGGAAGAACAGAAACTGAAACCTATGCGTGTTTTGTTAGCCACACCAACCAAGAGTCCATTGAGACAGTCAAAAGGAAAGGGTGGAAAAGGTTGCCCTAGGTTGAAGTACGATCAGTGTGCTTTTTATAAAGAGAAAGGACATTGGAAAGAACACTGCCTGAAATTGCAGAGGAATCCAGGTAATAAGAAACCCCCAGGAGAGCAAATGATTTCTCAAGTCCAGGACTCAGATGATGAATAAGGAGACCCAGGACTCCATGCCTCACTGGTGGCTCTGATCCAAATATCCCCACAGGAGGCTAGGAACAACTGACAGTGGGAACTTGATTGGTGGACTTTTAATTGACATGGGAGCTACCTTTTCTGTTCTAAACTCTAACTTCCCTTAATAAGCACATGGTGGAAAACATCAAATGGCAGATGATGCCTGTGCAGGAGGGCACAGAGGGCCTGGAATGGGAGGCCACGGCAGCTTCTGTGGAGGCTTCAGCAGTGGCATTCGGGGCTGGGGCCACAGCCATCATTGGGGCCAGGGCCAAGGTCATGGAGCTCACCGAGGCAAGGCTAATGACAAGGAGTTGGATGCCTGTCACCAAGGTGGGCCACCTGGTCAACGACATGGTGACAGTGGTTGAAGTAACTGGTCAGACCCAATAACGACCCATGCTTCAACCTCTTGAGTGCCAACTGGGAGAAAAAAACTGGAAACAGTTTTCTTTTTGCATTTGACCAAGGTATGAACTGACTCCCTTCCTCCATACAGAGTGATAATGGACCCTCCTTTATATCGGAGGTAACTCAGCAAGTAAGTAAAGCCCTACATTTAGAATGGAAATTGTATGTATCCTGGAGATCTCAATCTACAGGAAATATGAAGAAAATGAATCATACTTTAAAGAAAACTATAACAAAGTTGATGCAGGAAACCCATCTAAAGTGTGATAAGGTGTTGCTGCTTGCCCTCCTTTGGATAAGGATAGCCCCTAGAAGCAGGCTTAAGTTAAGCCCGTATGAAATAGTTTATGAGAGACCCTTTCTAGTGCCCCAAGGTAAGTATGGTAATATAACTATAACTGAAGAAAACAGAATAAAGCAATATGTCAAACAAATCAAATTCTAACCACCATGCATGAGTTGCCTCTTTCAGGTCCCCGCCCCAGTTAAAAGCACCCCTCTTCCCCCTTAAACCAGGAGACCGGGTGTTGCTTAAATGCCTGGAAAGAACAAGGACCCAAACAACAACTGGCAGAGAAGTGGAAGGGATCCTCTGAAGTGTTTCTAACAACTTACACCTTGTTGAAATCATCAGGAGTAAAACCTTGGGTCCATCATACCAGAGTAAAAAGGTGTCCCATGGAAGAAGAGGACACAAGCCCCCAGTGGATAGGCCAGAGTTTAGGCAATCTAAAGTGTCTGTTTTAAGAAAAAAAAATGAAAACGTTGATATTTTTGCTAGCCTTTCTTTTGTTATTTTTTCTGTCTATAGAATGGAGAGACAACTCTTTAATGAGGATTTCCCAAACTACTACCTCTTCTGCTGATCTGTCTCAATGCTGGGTTTGTCATTGCAACTAATAGTTCTGAACTCAGAGGTCCCATGTCTCTTTCTTACCCAGCCCTGTATCTCACATTCTGTACAAGGTGACAGTAGGACCCGCAGTCCTACTGGTGTCTTAGATACCAAGTGGGGTGAAATCCCTCTTATCAGGTATCCTCCATTTCGCCTTGTCAATCCTCATGGTTGTAGTTGTTGCTTATGCTCTTTATTGCCTGATAATCTGTTGCATTCTTTAGTTTTTGTAAATTTACTGCCAAAGCTTTGACAAACCAGAAAGAACAATGGCATTAATAAGTACAAACCTTCCATTTAAAACATTGCTTCAATTCAGCAGGAATTAGCTCGGTGACTATCACCCTCCTCCCATAGATATAGAAGGATAAAATTGACAGTGGGGAATATGTAACAGAGGTAAAGGGCTGAAAAGGGGCAAAATGTTTTATGAGTTGTCTCTTGAAAACCCCTCACTCTTTCGAGGAATTAAAATCTGCATTCCTGCCTGAGGCCAGTAATCAAAGGAACAGAAAAATGATGTTTGTTCTTCGTTTTCTAGGATCTTAAACCACAGGAGATGGCTCAACAGAATTATCTGAACAAAGGTCATGAGATCATCTTCACTGGAGATAAGGTCAACCCAAACCACCAACTATTGTTAAACTATTGTTATACTATTGTATAACAATACTTAACTATTGTTAAACAACAGCCCAAAGCTGAAACCACCCCCCCTTTTCAAAAGCCCTGTATTTCTGCTTAAAGGGGGATGATGGTTTTTAAAACAAATATCTACTGTCCTCCTCACTTGCTAGCAAATAATAAACTTCTCTTTCCTTTTCCTCGTTCTTCATTCTCACTGATTCAGCCTTGGGGACAAGTACAAACTTTTGGTAACAAGGATACACAGAGAAACCATTCTATCAGGCTAGAACACAGATCTCTACGTGTAGTACTTTAGACAGGGTAGAACTCGCAAGACCACAACATCTGAGTATATAGATGGGGACCTCACTAAGGTATGGTCAGTTGAAGCAACAATGTCACACCCAGAAGTGGCAGAAAAACAAGATTCCCAACATTTAGTACAATGTACTTTTTACCGCATCATGATGCCTTAGAAGAATCACAGAGAAACAAACTCCCAACATTTCTCTGAAGCACATGACTTCAGGACATTCCTTCTAGCTTGCTCACTGCTACATCCCTAGTACTTCTAATAGCACAGAGAGGGCTCTGGGTCAGGGCTGAAGTTGCCACACAGTGATGAGACAGGATACCCTGGGTCCCAGCTGCAGTCCTTACCCCACCCTGCAGCTGGAGGGGACTGAAGGCCCAGCTGCACCAGCAGGGACTTGGGTCTGCAGACTCTGGAGCTGACATAGGGAGACCTGGGTCCTACCCAGGCTGTTTCTGGCCAGTTCCAGCCAGCCCCCTACCTCCTCTAGGGACACTCAGCCCTATACATTCACCATTTCCCAGCTTATGGGATATTAACATCCTGCCTACAGGGCTCCCTCCCTGCAGGTCACAGGGCAACAGAGATTGCAGCAGAGATACCTGGGCCTCCTAGAGATAAAACAGTAGAGATGACCCCAGCTCTGTGCCCAGGTGCAAGAGACAAAGCTGGTCTTTGTTTTTATTTCTAGAATTCTAGCCAAAGCAATCAGACAAGAGAAGGAAAGAGGAGGTCAAACTATCCCTGTTTGCTGATGATATGATCTTGTATCTGGAAAACCCTAAAGATGCTACCAAAAGACTCCTGGAAGTGACAAATAAATTCAGCAAAGTCTCAGGTTACAAAATCAATATACACAAATCAGTAGCATTTCTATATACTAATAATAACATTCAAGTAGAGAGTCAAATCAAGGACTCATATCATTCACAATAGCTACAAAAAAAAATGAAATACCTAGGAATATACTTAACAAAGGAGATTAAAGACCTCTACAAGGAGAACTACAAAACATGGCTGAAAGAAATCGCAGATGGCACAAATAGAAAACACCCCCTGCTCATAGATTGGTAGAATCATGGGCAAATGACATGAACAGAAGTTTTTCAAAAGAAGATAATCAACAAACATATGAAAAAATGTTCAACATCACTAATCATCAGGGAAATGCAAATTAAAAGGACAATGACATACCACCTTACCCCTATCAGAATGGCCATCATTAAAAAGTCAAAAAACAATAGATGCTGCCCTGGATGCAGAGAGAAAGGAATGCATACACACTGTTGGTGGGACTGCAAATTAGTACAACCTCTATGGAAAACAGTATGGAGATTCCTCAAAGAAATAAATACAGACCTACCAATTGATCCAGCAATCCCACTGCTGGGTCTCTACCCAAAGGAAATGAAGTCATCTTATCAAAAGGATGCCAGCACTCAAAAGCTTATCACAGCACAATTCACAATTGCAAAGATGTGGAATCAACCTAAATGCCCTTCAATTCATGAATAGACAAAGAAAATGTGGTATATATATATATGGACTACTACTGGACTACTACTGGACTACTACTACATGGACTACTACTCAGTCATAAAAAGGAATGAAATAATGTCATTTGCAGCAACGGGGAGGGAACTGAAGAGCATTATCCTAAGCGAAGTATCTCAGGAATGGAAAAACCAAACACAATATGTTCTCACTAATAAGCGGAAGCTAATAGATGGGTATACATGGGCACAAAGTGATATAAAGGACATGAGAAACCAAGACGGGGGAAGGTAGAAGGGTGGGTGTGAGATTAAAAACTTACCTGTTGGGTACAATGAACACTATTCTGGTGATAGGCATACCAAAAGCCCTAACTTAGGCATTATACAAGATATCCTTGTAACAAAAACATTTGTACACCCTTAATTAAAATTTTGAAATAATAAATAATAAAAAAAGAAACAAAGGCAAAAACAGACATTCCCAGATAAAGATTGAGAAAAAAAGATTGTATACATCAGTAGAACAATTTACTGAAAACAAAAGGGGGTGGGCAATGAGGAACAGAGGAAACTTTTTACCTATGAGTAAAACAAAAAACAAATAGCAAAAGGCAGGTGTAAATTCAATATATCAATAATATTAAGTATAAATGAACTGAACACACCACTGAAATGGCAGAGATTGACAGACTGGATAAAAAGCAAGATGTATCAATAAAGGACTTGCATTCACACTATACGATCTCTTATAACTCATAAGATGACGACTAGCAACCCAACTAAAAAAAGGGGTAAAAGATTTGAATGGACATTTCTCCAAAGAAAATATACAAATGGCCAATAACCACAGAAGATGTCTACATTGTTAGTCATTAGGGAGATGATTTAATTTAGATGAGATTAAAATTTGGATGAGAATAATTTGGATGTCAGTGGTGTTAAGATACCACTTCCTATTCAATAGAGTGGCCATCATAAAAAAACACAGACTATAAGCAGTACTGCAAAAGATGTGGAGAAACTATAACCTTCATATCTTATTGGTTAGAACATAAACTGTTTTCGAAGTGACTGTAAAATTTTATCAGCGTTTTAAAAAGTTAACCTGCAAACCGCCGTGATAGAATTTTTGGGATTGATGGAAATGTTCTACAATCTGATTGTGGTGATGATTACAAAAAAAAAAAAACAGCAACTTTGAACTGTACACTTACAATGGGTGAATTTTATAGTATGTAAATTATACCTCAATAAAACTGTAAAAAAAATTTAAGTGTGGTTAGACAAGACAGGTAAGACTTTATCAGTGTTTTATACATGTGTGTACATACGTATGTAAAGAGAGCAAGAGAGAGAGAGCAGGTGGGGGACAATAAAAAAATGGGGAAAATGAAAACAACTGGTGAATCTTAAACAAGGATATGAGAGTTTCATGGGTTTTTTTCTTTCATTGTTGTTGTTTTGAGACAGGGTTTCATTCTGTCGCCCTGGCTAGAGCGCAGTG